ACGACCGCTGCGCCGACTGCAGTCAAACAGCACCGGACTGGGCCAGTCTCAACTTGGGTATTTTGATATGCATCGAGTGTTCTGGTACGCATCGCAATCTTGGATCCCATATCTCGAGGTACATTTCTTGATATGCTTTCTTATTCTTGCCATTGTTAATTGTTCTGGTTGATTTTCAAAAATTTGCATTTATATAATCGAGAAGCCATCAATTAGCTAAATAGTTTCGCTTCTTATACATACCACTCACTTCTTTAGAGTACGATCGCTCGATCTCGATGCCTGGCCAGTGGAATTCCTGGCTGTGATGCAAGCAATAGGCAATGATGCTGCAAATCGGTTATGGGAATATCACGCTCCATCGGATCGACGACCTCAGCCAGATAGTCCATTGTGAGTTGATGCTCATTCTCATCAGTAGCATTAATAATCGGTAGCCAGGGTATTTTTCTCTGTGCACTAAAGCTAAACATTTACATGGAATTCATTTCGAATTGTAATAATTATAATTATCATATTATACTTATAATCATCATAGTAGTAGACAAATAGCAAGTCTTTTCCATGTTCAAAGCTCATTCTACACCTTTACTAAATTTCCGTAACATAAAATCGTGAATTGTCTAGTGCAACTATGTACAGAGCTATGATTTGCATTTATCGAAAATTCGATTGCAATTTAGCATTTTTTTACCTTAATTTTTCTTTTTCTTCATCTCGTGTAGGTTTCTTTGAAGTTTTTTTAAATTATAATTTCTTACCTGTTGCTACATCTTAATTAGCGCCTGAAACTGTGCGTAACTCTTTGAGAAACATGAGTACTGGCGAAAAAGGATGATTTTATCAAGGGTATCCTAAGAATATCTTACGTTATAGTCTTTTATAGAGTAACTATGCTGAAAATCAGGAGTGGAACTGCTTCCCAAATATTCTTGTCTTCTTGGTTCATTTTCCTTTTTCAGAGAGGTCAAAGAAGCGTGGATTCGTGACAAGTACGAAGCTAAACGCTTCTTA